TCTCAGGATAGAAAAATCGATGTACAAAAATCACAAGCATTCCTATACACCAGTAATAGACAAACAGAAAGCCAAATCATGAGTGAACTCCCATCCACAATTGCTACAAAGAGAATAAAATACCTACGAATACAACTTACAGGGCATGTGAAGGACCTCTTCAAGGACAGCTATGAACCACTGCCCAAGGAAATAAGAGAAGATGCAAACAAATGGAAAACCAGTCTGAGAAAATTCAAAAGGCCAGCACAGGCTGGGGCCTAAGGAGACAAGAAGTTCAGACCACAGAGGGCAGACTCAATTGCCTAGAGAGGTCAAGAGTATCCTGTTTGTAAAGCAGGCTGGAGGTAAGACATAAGGGGCCCTCTTGATTCTTTTATCATTTTCTTACTTTGAATCATGACATAAGTATAAGAAATACTTTGCTTTTTTTCCTTTTTTTGAGACAGAGTCTCGCTGTGTCACCCAGGCTGGAGCGCAATGGCATGATCTTGGCTCACTGCAACCTCAGCCTCCCGGGTTCAAGCAATTCTGTGCTTCAGCCTCCTGAGTAGCTGGGATTACAGGCACCCACCAACACGCCTGGCTAATTTTTTTTTGTATTTTTACTAGAGACGGGGTTTCACCATCTTGGCCAGGCTGGTCTTGAACTCCTGACTTCGTGATCCACCTACCTCAACCTCCCAAAGTGCTGGGATTACAGGTGTGAGCCACCACACCCTGACTCCTTTTTTCTTAACTCTGTCACAAAAGAAAACAAAACCAAGACAGTGTAAATAGAAACTCACACTTGGCCTAGAGTAAGAGATACAGAAGGGACTGGTGGGGCCTGTGACAAAGAGGAAGGCAAAGTGGGCAGCTGCTGCTCAGCTCCAGCCACTCACTACTGTGCAGGCCTGTGGGCCCCATGAGACTGGGTCTTTCTATTTTCCAAGAGAAGCCCAAATTTCACATTTTAATGTAGTTTCCACTGTGTTAAATGTGGGCAAATGATTGACATTTTAAAAGAATATCATATGAAGCCTCAAGATGAGTGGCCAAACAAAACAATTTTGGAAGTGAGGTGTAGCTTATGGACTCCCAGTTTGTGATTTCTGGTTATCTCTGAAACAGTCTTGATTTATACCTAAGGCACCCCATTTCACTCTCAAATATCCTGGTTTGGACAATAAACTATATTGTTATTCCAGCTTTGATGTACAATAAGGAGTACTGAACTGGGACCCAGGGGTCCTGGGTTCTACTGAACCACTGGTTGACTCATTTGTTCATCCATTTATTCAATAAACATTTATGGAGTGTCTATTCTGTGCCAGGTACTTTGTTAGGTGTTCATGAACAATCTCTTTAGTCTTTCTTTTTTTCTCTCTTTTTTCATTTTTTCTCTTTTCCTTGTCATTACCTCCAATAGTCTTTCTTTTTAAAATTAATATATTTTATTTTTAGAACAGTTTCAAGTTTATAGAAAAACTGAAGAGAAAGTACAGAGAGCTCTCATATTCAACTTCCGTCCCCTTCCCCTACAGGCAGTTTCCCCAATTATTAACATCTTGCATTAACGGGGTACATTTATTATAGTTAGTGAATGGATACTGATACATTATTATTAACAAGTCCACTGTTTACATTGTTTCACTTTTGGTCTTGTACAGTTCTATGAGTTTTGAAAAGTATATAATGTTATATGTCCACCATTACAGTATCATGCAGGAATACTTTCAATGCCCTCAAAATCAACTGTATTCCACTGACTCATCCCTCCCTTCCTTTCCCTGAAGCCTGGCAACCACTCATCCTTTTACTGTCATATAGTTAGAATCATACAGTATGTAGCCTTTTTGGACTGGCTTTTTTCAAGATGCCTTTAAGTTTCCTCCATGTCTTTTTGTGGTTTGATAACTCACTTTTTTCTTGGTGCTGAATAACAGTCCATTGTCTGGATGTACCATGGTTTATCTGTTCATCTATTGCAAGACATTTTGGTTGCTTCCAAGTTTTGGAAATTCTGAATAAAGCTGCTATAAATATTTGTGTGCAGGGCTGGGCACAGTGGCTCATGTCTGTAATCCCAGTGATTTGGGAGGCTGAGGCGGGAGGATCAACTGAGGCCAGGAGTTCAAGACTAGTCTGGGCAAAATAATGAGACCCTGTCTCTACAAAATAAAAAAAATCAGCTGGGTATGGTGGCACACCCCTATAGTCCCAGCTACTCAAGAGGCTGAGGCAAGAGGATAATTTGAACCTAGGAGGTCAAGGCTGCAGTGAGCTATGATTGTGCTACTGCCCTGTGGCCTGCGTGACAGAGTGAAACACTGTCTCTAAAAAAAAAAAAAGTAAAACAAACAATAGAAAAGACCTCCAAACATTTGTGTGCAGGGTTTTGTGTGAACATGAGTTTTTAATTCATTTGGGTAATTACTAAGGAGTGTGATTGCTAGATTATGTGGTAAGAATAGGTTTACTTTTGTAAGAAACTACCAAAATGCCTTCCCAAGTGACTGCACCACATTGCATTCCTACCAGCAATGAATGAGAGTTCCTGTAGTTCTACATCCTTGACAGCATTTGGTGTTGTCAGTGTCTTGGATTTTAGCCATTCTAATAGATATGTAATGGTATCTCATTTTAATTTGCAATTCCTTAGTGACACATGATATTGGGTATCTTTTCACATATGTCTCTGACTTAAGATGTTTCAACTTTATGATGGTACTAAAGTAATATGCATTTAGTACACTCCTCAACTTATGATGGGGTTACATCTGGATGATCCCATAATAAGTTGAAGATACTTACTGTAAGTCAAAAACATACTTTCAACTTATATTTTCAACTTACAATAGATTTACTGGGATATAACCCCACTGCAATAGGCAGAGGAGCATCTGCACTTGCTTGCTGTCTGTATATCTTCTTTAGTGAGGTGCCTATTAATATATTTTGTCCATTTTAATTTTTTAATATTTAAATAATATTTAAATATTTTAAATTTTTTTGTAGAGATGGGGTCTTGTTATGTGGTCTAAGCTGGTTTTGAACTCCTGGCCTCAAGCAATCCTCCCTCCGAGGCCTTACAAAGTGCTGGGATTACAGGCATGAGCCACCACATCTGGCTCACTTTTGTCCATTTTTTTTTTAATTTAAATGTATTTTTTTTGAGACAAGGTCTTGCTCTGTTGCCCAGGCTGGAATGCAGTGGTGTGATCATAGCTCACTTTAGGCTTGACTTCTTGGGCTCAGGTGATTCTCCCACTTCAACCTCCTGAGCAGCTGGGAGTACAGGCACATGCTACCATGTCTGGCTAATTTTTACATTTTTTTTGTGGAGACAGGGTTTCACCATGTTGCCCAGGTTGGTCTCAAACTCCTGGACTCAAGTGGTCTGCCCACCTTGGCCTCCCAAACTGCTGGGATTACAGGAGTGAGCTATTGCACCCAGCCTCTTTGCCCATTTTAAAATTGAGTGTTTTCTTATTGTTGAATTTTAAGAGTTCTTTACTCTTATTCATATCCTTTACTGGAAACGAATTTTGCACATATTTCTCCCAGTCTGTGGTTTGTCTTTTTATTCTCTTCATCTTTTTAATGTGGAGCAGAGTGGTCCAATAGAACTTTCTCACATGATGTTAACATCCTACAGCTCTGCTGCTCAATATGGTAGCCACTAGTCACATGTGGCCATTGAGCACTTGAAATACGTCTAGTGCAAGTGAGGAACATAATTTTATATTTTGTTTAATTTTAATGAACTTAGCCACATGTGGATAGTGGTGAGACTGTACTGAACAGAGCAGACATAGAACAGTCCTCTTGTGCTTTTTTTCTCCCTTCATGAAGTTGACTAGGGGTCATCCTTATTCTTCCTTTGTTTACAACCTGCCTTTTTAATCTATTAGCAAGTCCTGTGGATTCTACCTCCAAAATAGATTGCAAATCTACCTCTTTCTTTCCATCCTTCACTGCTACAACTATACCCCAAACTATTCTCGTCCCTTATATGGATGATTCTAGTAGCCTCAAGACTGGTCTTGCTTCCTTCCTTGTCTCCTACAACCTATTCTCTACATAGGAGCCTGAGTATTTTGTGAATACTTAGGTCAGACCACATCACTCCTATGCTCAAATCCCTCTATCAGCCTCCAATCACACCTAGAATAAAATCTAAGCTACTTACCTGCAGGGGCTGGTCCCTTGCCTCCTGTGTCCTACCACCACCCTCCTTGCTCACATGGGTCTTCATGATCATTTTGCCCTCTTAGGGCTTCTCCTGTCTTTGAACTTGCTCTTCCTTCTGCCTGGAATGCTCTGTCCTGGCTATCCCCATTTCTGACTCTTTTCATCACCTTTGTCACCTTGAGCCGACAGGTCTGAACTCCAAAGTCACTTCTGAGAGAACTTAGGACCACCCAAGCTAAGGAGCCACCCCCTCAGTCACTCCTTTTCCGTTTCACCATCCTGTTTTATTTTCTTCAATCCACTTAGCATGCAGAAAACATCTTGTGTGTTTTGTTTCTTTATTTGCTTGCTGTTGGTTTCCTCTCACCAGCTCTATGAGGGCAGAGACCTTGTCTGCTGTCTTGGTCATTACTCTACTGTTAGGGCCCTGAAGCCTAGTAGGTGCTCAGTACTTATTCATGGAAGGAAAAGACATCTGTAGCTCTGCTTTCCCATTCACGGAGGCTTAAAGCTTGGTCATGGCTCTTAAGGACCTTATAAATGTGGTTAAGGTGAGCAAACACTTGCTAACAAAAGGAGAACCAGGCTAGGATACATAAGTTCTGAATACAGTCAGTGTCACAGCAGTTTGGAGGGATGCTGGTGTGATCTCAGGAATGCTTGGAGGTTGGGTGGCACTACAGAGGAACAGAGAAATGAATTTAGGACTGTTGAAAAGTGTTTCCAAAACTTCTGTCTTACGAGTACCTCTTTCAGGAATATTTTCACATCTACTTAACAGCTGTATTAATAGTCACCTTGAGTTATATATATACACATAATTTTATTTTTGGGAGGGCATTAATTCACTTTTAAACCTTCAGGTTGGGCCCACTGGATCATGCCTGTAATCCCAGAACTTTGGGAAGCTGATGTGGGAGGATCCCTTAAGCTCAGCAGTTTGAGAACAGCCTGGGCAACATAGGGAGTCCCCGTCTCTATTAATTTTTAAAAAGAAATTAAAAAAAATAAGAAGAAAACTTTAATACCCATTTTGGCCTTATCTATCATAAGCAGCAATAACAATAATAATAGATAACATGCTTATTAACATTTTAAAACATACATTAAAATGACTATTAAAATTGAAAATGTCTTTGTTACCTCAGATTGTCTCTCATATAGAGGAACATGAGGCACATCTTGAAAAAAATAATTGCAGGCATTGCTCTTGGGCAGCCAGTGTTCAGGCTGCTTTGCTGCTGGGAGGCTCCGGTATCTGAGAATCTTGGATGGTGTGCACCCCTGCCCTCAATCTGGTCCATTTTTCTGTCCATTTATTGCCTAAGCCTTCACCGATGTCTACAATGGCCTAGGCCCTGTGCTGGGTGCTGAGGTCACAGAGAGGATCAAGACAGTTCTTGCTGTCAAGAAGTTCTAAGCCTAGTGAGGAAGACACATATGGAGGCAAACACATTCTAGTCCACAGCAGCAAGGTGATACAATTCCAGTATGTACAGAGTGCTGTGGGCAGAAAAAGAGGGCACAAGAGGCTTCACAGAGCAGGTGACTTATTGAAGGGCAAAGGAGGGAAGAATGTTCTAGGCAGCAGGAAGAGAGCAGGATGTATAAAGCCAACTGCAAAGTTTTTGAGGTCAGGATATAGGGTGAAGGTCTGGGACGGGGACAATGCAGCTGGAGAGGTGGCTAGAGGCCATATCAAGTCCAGGGCCTTATCTGAGAGGCCATGGCGAGCCTCTGAGAGATTGTCAGGAGGGCAAGGGATCTGGTAGGCTACAGGGCTAGAGCAAGATTTCCAGCTGCTGCCCTATCATGGCCAGGTTCAAGGACCTCATTTTCTACCTAGGAATAATTGCAGTACAAAGGGCTCCTATGAAGCTTTGGGCATGTGCTGATATGGATGGTTGGTTTAATTTTTAGCTGTTAATTGTCAACTGCATTGCTTGCCTTGGAATGTCGATCCCTCCTGTCATCAGAGAGCCTTTTATTGACAATTAAGTAAAACTGCCAATTACCATTTGTCTGCCTCTGACCTGAATTAGAACCTGAGGTTGTGGATTAATCCCACTAGGCTTCTGACATTTACAGGATATCAGCACTTAGAGGATATTACCCTGATGGTTAGTGTGCTCTGGTCTTAGCTCTCAAGGCACTACTGCAGTCTCAAACTGAATCGAAGCAATTTCTAAAATAGCCTATGATTCATTTTTTCTCCCCTCCTGTGCCTAAATCTGCTGGCTTCATGTGGAGGGATGGGCACAAGTAACTGTGGGGTGACATCACAGGAGTGGGCTGCTTGCCTGACAGCCAGCTTGTGGAGCTGGGCCCCGGCAGTTGTCTATCTGCTGGGTTGGGCAATGCCTCCCAGCAGTTTTGGAGACACAGCTCCGAGGTTCTTTGGTCAATGTGCCTTCTCCACATTTCTTTTTCAGACAAAAATTCTGGGCTGGGAAATCCAGGATAATGGGAATAGCAGTGGTAGGAGGAATAATACCGCCTTACATCTGTATAATACTTTAGAGTTTGAAAGCTATTTGCTCTATTTTGCCCCACCCAAACACCAGTGGGAAATGGAAGCTGGGATTTTCGACTTGAACTGGATACTTACTCTCGCTGGCTTGCAAAAAATCCCTAAATGCTAACATCCCCTATTCACCTCAAGGCATATCATGATTAGGCCTTGGACGCCACCAGAAGGTCAGAGAGGCTCCCTTTAGTTTATAGGTGCTTCCTGGAAGATAAATTCTCCAGGACAAATTGCCTGGCAGGCACAATCCATTAACTATGCCATCCTGATTGAGCCAGCAAGTAATGCCAGTCTCAGCACTGCCAACTCCTTCTGCACACCCTGGTTTACGGTCCCAATGGCCCCAAAGACCTTTACTGTAGCCAAAGGCACAGTTGCTAACTGTGGAGCCCTGAAGGTAGGGTGTGTCACAAACATCTGGAAGTGCCAACAGCTGCCAGAGAGCTCAAGGGCCTGTGAAAGGAAAACCCACAATTCAAGTCACATCAGCCATCACTGTGGATCCTGAAGTGAAGGGTCACTGAGCCCAGCAGTGAACAGCTGAAGAGTGAGGTAGAGGGATTCTTTCCTTGGAGGAGCCATAAAAATAGTTCTGTGTTGGTTTCATGTTTGCTTTGTGATCATTCATCATGTAAGCCCAGTATGGCTTGGTGTCCCCACTGCCTTACTGCCATAGTGAACATGAGAAGTCTGCTCTGGTCCAGCTCTCCTCCTGTGATCTTCCCCAGGATCATGGTCACCAGGCTGGAAGCCAAGAGGGTGGCATATTCTTGATTGGCCTTCCAGGTTTTACATTAGATTTCAGTGTCACTAGTGTGCGTGTATGTGTCCGGGGATGAAGGTGGGGGTTGGAAGCAGTGAGCCACAGATGCTCAGCAGTATTGCGAGAGTGGCAGGTGCTCCTGCTGTTGTTGCTGCCATTGCTGCCACCACCACCACTATCACCAAATGAATCCAGAATGACCTTGTGTAAGACCACAGTTGCTGGTCAGTGCCATGAAAATGTCATCTATGTAAACCACGATGCTTATACTTGGGCAGTTCTGTCTGTCAGAAATCTTGGCGAGGTATAAAAGTGACCCTTTTGAAAGTTGAATCTGTAAGCCTGCATGTGGAAAGTGACTGTCAGAACAGAACATCACCACCTCCAAAGCAGAGAGCCCTCCCAGAACTTGTTTTCCAGCTCACGCAGGAAATGTGCACCTATGAAAGTAGATTAAGAATCACCACCTCAGCCCGTTTTAGAGATGTGAATAAAAATCTTGGCTTGGGACTGCCTTCTTTCTGGTTGACTGATTTTTCAATTGATTTGTATTTATTAGCTAATGAAATTAAAGTTGTAAAAATGATAACAGAAACACAATAAATCTCTCCCACAACTGGCTGTTTCTATGTCACTATGGTGCATTCCTCACTTTGATTACTTCAAAGTCTATTATTTTGTTTTCAATTATTCTGTTTTTCTGGCACTGGAGAAAATCAATTTGTTTTATTTTCTCTTATTCATGCACTCAATTATGCTCTTCGAGCACATTTAATCACTTTGATGTTTTCATTTTATGGCCCGTCTCTAGGCACTTCAGCTGCATTGCTGCCAATGGGCAAGCAGGACTAATTTGCATGTCACAATAGACTTGAAATTCTAACTCAATTTAGAAATCTTTGTGAAATCTCTCTCCAAAATGTGCTTGGAGCTGCAAAGAGGCAGAAGAATGTTGGCAAACCAGGAGCCTGTAAAGATGCTTTTCTTTCTCAAAAGACTATGAGCTCCTTCATGACCCGACCATGGCTTGGGGCAGTCCCTGTCCAGGTACAGCCAGAGACCATGGGATGGGAGGTCTGCAGACCCTCCTCTGGAGCTCTGTGGTGAGAATCCTGCAGCAGCTGTCCCTCAATGGCAAGGCCAAGGAGGCTAAGCCACTTACACTGGCAGAAAATGACCCTTAGCACTGCTGGATTTGGTGGCTGTGCTCAAGACAGCACCTGAATCTCAGCTGGCTAAAGGGCCTCTGGGTAGACTGACAAAGTTGTCAACAGATAGGCATTCCAAAACCCTGAGTGGTTTACCTCAATTTTTCTAATAATTTCCAACCTTCCTTCTACCCCTTGATCATTTTAGAGCTAGAAGCCGGAGGGGAATGAGCAAAACAATTGCTTTGGGCATGTAATTCGGGCAAACAAGAAAAAATCCTTAATTAAACACATTAGAGGCCTCCAACTACTCTTTGAATATTCTTGGTTTGTTTATGCAACAATCAGCAGCTCTGTCAGGCAGAAGGAAAATTCCTTATTTCTTCTTCTAAGCTTTGGGTATGATCCTCAGCTTCTCAGGTGAAATCCTAGCTTCTGCACTTACCTGCTGTGTGACCTTGTATAAGTGAATTAACTTCCATAGGCCTCAGTTCTTACATCTATTAAATGGGACTAATAATATTATATATATTAGAGACTGATCTGCTTCCTAAACTTCTATACTGTCAAGAGTTTGGCCATATTCACATACTGCTTATATGGACATAAAAAAAACCCAAAAAAACAAAAACCCAGCCTCACCCTAAGCAATATCTTTGAAACCAAAGAGTTTGATCTGATAATTATATTTTGTAATACACATTGAAACATATATCTGTATTGAACATATTAAATCTATTCTTGCTTGGGGTCTTTGACCTTGCTAGTCTCTTCATCTAGAATGTACT